GCGACCCGCAGATTGCGAGTCGAGTGCCCTAACCACCTGGCCATGCCGGGCCTAATAGACTACAGGAAAGGCAGCTAGTTAAAGCCATCCACCGTCAACTCTTGGGCTACTCTTTACTTAATAATAATAGGATTGGCTGTAACATTATAACGCCCCCACGGTTGAAAGGGTGAGCATGTTTATTGATGGGATTTGATTTATTTGTTTGTAATTAAGCACAAAGCTACACAATGAACTATCTGTGCTCTACCCACAACGGGTATCGAAACCTGGTTTCTAGATTTGCAAGTCCACGGAGAAGGGATTTGAACCCGTACGTCGAGTGCTTTAACCACCATGTCATCCCACATTACGAAATAATGCATGCATTGTAAGTAACTGGCACACAATAGACAACAACGAAACTAAACGCACATTTAAGAATTACACAAATTCACCACATCGTATTATTTAATGCTCCATTGGCTTATTATAAAATACACATATCTAAATAATTGTGAATGTGTCTGTAGTGAATCTTTGTAACGTTACAAGTTTTCTTTTAGATGTAGATCTAAAGGTTTATGGTTCGCGTCCCATCATTGAGGAGAAAAAAATAGGGCCGTCGGTACGTTCGTTATAAGAGAGGCGGTCAAATCCCACTATTAAACTAGTATACACTAAGAATTGGCGGTGGATTCTGTTGATTGGTTGCCTTCTCTCCAGTCTATCGATTCAAAATTAGATATGATTATCACAGATAACCCTTGGATAGCTTTGCGCAAACAACAAATCAAATCTGTTAAACGTACACACGCTTTACAACCGTTTATAATTAGTCAAAGATTTATATTTTTATCATAAAATATTATAATGACTTTTATAAGTGATTTTGACAAGCATTCTGCGTTTTTAATCTCCTAACTTTTTGAATTTATGAATGTAACACATTTGTGTACACGAAAGAAAGCTACAGTATGTATTTCTACTATAATCAAAGTGTATGGTATTTGGAGACGTATTTTACACAACAAAATGAACCAATGTTTATATAGGATTTGAAGAATTTGTAGCACTGATGCTACTAATTTATTCTTGTAAACTATATAGGAGAAAAATTGTTTAAAATACTAAAAATGGAATTACACTAAATCAGTATAACTAGGTGGCAAATGGAAAATCGATTAACAGACTGGGCTTCACATTTAGTCTTAGTATATTCAAAGAGTACTAATGAAACATTATACTACTAACAACAGGTTTATTGCTACAAATGTCACTTTTTCGGTTTCTCTAAAACATTAAAACCTGATACTTTGAATATTTGCGAAAGTTTACATTTTCCTGAAATTTACTGATAAAGATAATTTATTCTGTAAATAACGTAAAAAAATTTAATCAAATGTTTTCAACCTAATAATACGTGATACATACATATATATAATCAGTCATGTCAGTAAAATACAATAAGAGCTAATCACCTAAGCACAAAAAACGAAAAAACTATCGCATTTTAAACATAGAAATTAAAATTATATATGCACGAGCCCAATCAGCTAATCACACCAATTCTAAACGTATATATAGTGTTTGTACTTACACCATGACACCAGGAGGAAGCTCCCAGACACATTCTCCTGAGATCAGATTAGCATACATGTGCTCCCGTGTTCGGGGTTCAATGATCTCCACCCAGTCCACTCTGAGGAAAAGAAAATATTCATAATATAGTCAGTGTTAAAGTTACTTTAATTTACAATGTAATATAAAAAAAATAGCGAGAGAGAGAGAAAGATGTAATGTTCTTCAACGTAATACAGAGGATTGAATACGGCATATTAAATCGATTTTAAACATGCATATCAGCAAGTCCCCTAATAACTACTGCCATATAAGGTCGAGGTGGAACGGAATGTATCACAACTACATTTTGATATTGTTTGGCTTTCGTAAGTAGTGTGATGTCACAGAAAACTGATCACTTTTGGGGATAGCATGTAATAGCCTTTTCCAATGCTTAATATTCATATACTCTGATCATAAAGATCTGTTCAGATCAGGGATTCAGAATGTCCAAGATGGGGATATCCCTTGAAATTAATGACATTGAAAAACAAAAGAACATGGTCAAACTGGTGAACGCAGAAAGACACCTTCAAAAGCTATACTTCTGCTGTAGTAAGCAAAGTCCGGCGTCTTGCTTGTAACAGGTGAGAATCCATGAATAAAAAGGTCAGTAGGAAAAAGCCGTCCACGTTACCCAGGCAACAGCACACGACATAATAATAATAATAATAAATCTCCGTCTGAAAACGAGGCCAACAGGGTATGTGTTCGCCAAGATAAGGCTTCAAGTCCTATCTCTCGTTCAACCATCTCACACCTCAAGAAGCTGCAGAATGAAACGGAGATTCAGGCTATTCCATACGAAGACATACCGGTCAAATCACAAGACACAGCGCCTATCGTTTCCTGTGCGGTAAAGAAAGGAAATTAACAAATATATAGATAACCAGTCAATCTACTGAATAAGAATGAAGACTTAATGGTGACAGTATGTCATATGTTATCTAAACACAGAGTATATTACGTGGTGAGAGTAAAGGACTACACACCTAAATCAAACAATCTGCTTACATTCCAAGACTATATGAAGCCTACTTTATTTCTTTGTCTCACTCTTTGAAGCAGTACCGATGAGCCGTGAATTCGGTGAAACTAGTATGTTGCAATGAATCAAAGAACAGATTAGGTCTTTTTCTTCACTGAAATTTGCGCTTTGGTGAAAAATAAAAGCAATTAATAAATAAATAACCAGTTAGTCCGCTGAATAATAGAGGATAACTAATTGTGACGATATGACACACGTGCCCCCCAGTGGCACAGCGGTATGTCTGCGGACTTACAAGCTAGAAACCGGGTTTCGATACCCGTGGTGGGCAGAGCACAGATAGCCCATTGTGTAACTTTCTGCTTCTACAAACTAACAAATGACACACGTAGTCAAAACACCTAAATTAGTTAGGTTATTAATTGTGAGTAAAGGTCTATACGTCTGAATAATTAGTTTTTTATTAATTTTCTTAAAACTATATTTCTACAAATACGTAAATATTAAGCGTAATAGCCCCCCCCCCAGTAGCTCAGCATTAAGTCTGAAGGCTCATACCCTAAAAAACAGGTATCGTTATTTGTGTAGCTTTGTACTTAATAGCAAACAAACAGCACAAATTACGCGTAATCAATTTAAATATCAAAAGAACGTCGTACATGATTTTTTTAATATATTAGTAGTATTAAAATAGAATTTAAAATCATCTAGAGACATCCAGTGAGATCACAAACTTTATATATACTTCTGATATTTGGTGTTTTCAACCTGAACTAAACCTTATGCTACACGTGAACTAAATGGCCACGTCAGAGACCTCAAAGCTCGTGTATATCCATCCCTAATTTAGACTGCTAACCAAAGGAAGAGAAACCAGTCAGTAGTTGCAATTCTTAGCTAAAGAGAGGGATTGACTGTCACGACTATAAAGCCCCTACAGTTGAAAGCCTGACGGGTGTTAAGCGATATATCAATATCGGGACTCATCGGGCCGACAGACATGGTATTGGTCGCGACACTATTTATATTATCAAATTGCCTGAACAACAACTGTTTCGTTGAGAAGTGTAATTTATACTATAGATGTACTTTGTTGTTGTTTCCTTAGCGCAAAGATACACAATGGGCTATCCGCGCTCTGTCCATCGCGGGAATCGATTAAGTCCGTAAACATAACGCTGACTGGCAGGAAAACTAGATGTACTTCTATTAAACAGAAATATATTTTAAACATTCTCAAATGTTATATGAACACATATATTGACTGTTTGTTGTAAAACGAAAACCTACACAATGGGCTATCCGCACTCTCCAACGCGGGTACTGAAACCCAATTTTGAGCGTTATAACCCCACAGATTTACCGCCGGGTCAACAGGGAGCTTATACTCATTGGACAAAAGTAACAAAATTCGGTCTCGAACATTATATTGCCCAAATTAAACACCTATTTCACCTTTTAGATAACTATATATATCTATATAATAACTAAAATTCGGTATCTGTGACGCTCTGAATCTCCTGAACGGTTAAACGTTGAAATATATATATATATATAATAATAATAATACACAAACATTTAAACTTATTAACCAATCCAAAGATACGGTAATTAATAACTTCATTACAGCTTATAAAAAAAAGCATTCTAAATCAAGTTATTTTGTAGATTTATATTTTCTGTATGCTATTCCTTAACTATCACCGATTAAATTTTATTTCTAGTTCAATAAAAACAATTATTAAACAATCGGCCATATTATTAAATAAATTACTTAACATTTTATTTGGTAAAATTAAAAATGTAAATAGTAATAATAAGAAACGCATGTTTTGGATAATGAAAGTAATCAACCCATTTTAAAATATCTAAATAACAGTGAAAAATATTCAAACATTTGGTTTTACCACACTGTATACCACAATCCCATTGAGAGATTTAATTTCTGTTATGAATTCAACAACTGAACACTTCTGTTATCCTTTCATAGTAGCCCCCCAGTGGCACAGCGCCATGTCTGCAGAACATAGATAGCCCATTGTGTAACTTTATGCTTAATTACACAAACAAACAAACCTTTCATAGTACTGGAAGAAACAAAATTTAGCTTCAAAAATATACAAGATATATTAAGTTTCTATATTTATAATAATTATGTTTTTTCAGTAACCAGGTAAGTAAACAAGTAATACGAGTTCCAATGGGAGCTAACTATTCTACTTCTATTGTAAATCTATATCTTTATTTATATGAAAATAGGTTTATTGAAAATTGCATGAATTCGGAAATATTTGTTTTAACTTACAGATATATAGATAATTTAATTAGTATAAATAATCCTGAGATAACTAATTTTATTAATACTATTTACCCTGTAGAATTAGAAATTGAAGGCACATTAGAGGCACATTATTTAGATCTAGAATTTAAATAATTGATAATGATCTTGATCTAAATATTTTTGAAAATAAAAGAAAATATTTTTCTTTTCCAATATACGGCCTATCCTCTTTTAATAGTAATGTGTTATACTCTTCTAAGTATTATAACTTCACAATTATTCAGATTTTGTAAAATTTGTAATAAATTACAATATTTCATTATTAATGTTTATATATTGATGCAAAAATTAATATTCAATGAATTTAATAAAGGAACTCTAAATAAAATTATTAAAATATTTTATGATAAATATAAAAATGTACTAAATAAATATCAAGAAGTAAAAATTAAGGAGTTTTTGCTGAAAGTTTTGATGAGTATTTTTTTTGTTTTTAATAAGGTCGTTTAAACAAATTGGCACTACTTTTATGCGGATGAACACCTTATTGTATACAAATGCTCGTGTAAAGTCTGAAAACTAGTAATTACAGTGGACTTAATGAGTGGTGGTTGGGAGTTATACTAGTTAGTTCAGATAATTTGATTGGGCTTTTATAACTCTATAGTACTATAATTGATCTATTGTACTACTGGTTAAATTAGAGTTTTACTACTATAATGAGAGCTGGAATGCCAATCTCGGGAGGTAAGTTTATCTCACCTACCCCTAAGTGGTAGTACCTTATTTGTTTTTTCACTTTGAAGAGAAGTCACCTTCCCACACATATCTGCAGACAGTGAAGGGTGATATAAATGTGAGATGTTGTGGGATTGAGCACCCACATCTCGCTCTCCTAACTCGTATTTCTTTTGATGATTTTATTGTATTTTATGAATTTCTTCAAGTGAGACTGACGATCGGAAGTTAAGACTGATAGAAGGTATACCTCCACCGCAATGTGGGTCCTACTTCCGAAGTCACCTCCAAAACCCAGGTCATATTTCATATTCCACATTATAGCCTGTACCCTGGGGATCCTTTTAATTTATGCAGTCTTTAATTTAATTTTTTTTGTTGGGCTTGTTTTGTTCATTTAAATGTCATTTATCACAAGTTTGGATTTGCTGTTTTTATCACAGTTCTTCCTTTTGATTTTATTTTATTTGACTGTTTAAGTATTAATTTTCGACGTATGTATATATAAATCAAAATACTTCTTTTCAACGTTACATTACAGGAAACTTATTCTTTCTTTTTTTTTTGCAATCATATTGATATACAATTGATCCGTCATCTTCGTATGTGCGGTTTAGTTGTTTTAAAGTAAAGTTACATTGGGCTATCTACTGTGTCCACCACGGGGAATCGAACCTCCGATTCGTATGTGCCGAATGGTCAACGTGAGAGAAAGAAAAACATATTAAGAACAAAGATGTTTCTTTTTTATGGGGAAATTTCACGGAAAAACGAGACTTCCTCCGTCGGCTGATTGAAAGGAATATTTCGAAGATAAAAGTATAAACGAAAAAAAACGCATAAAGAAAGGAACATATCGTATACATACATGAGTTTATCGTACCATGTCGAATAATATGATTTGAATTGAACCAATTATCTTCCCACTGACATTTCTTAGAAATAACAACTGTCAAAAAGCGCTCATTTCAGTAGCGGTCTTTTCTTGCGCTCAGTAAAATGACAAGGAACGCTGGCATCCAGCGGGAAAAATCCCCTCTGGCTACTTAGCGAACCTGAGCGCTCTATAGTG